AGATAATTAAATATTATAACACCTCCCCCCTTAAGAAACTATTTCGAAGAAATAGTAACATAAGTAATTGCTAAACTTTAACACTCTCGCTCCCTCAAAAAAAAAAAAGACTACTACATACATACACTACACACGGTCAGACAATTTCAGAAGGCTCTGCTAAGTGCATCAGCATTACGGTTTTCAGAACCCTTTTTGTGTTTGATCTCCATGTCAAACTCTTGAAGGACTAGGCTCCAGCGCAGTAGTTTGTTGTTCTTATCTTTCACTCTTCTCAACCATATTAAAGGGTTGTGATCAGTTTCAAGGATAAATCGTCTTCCATACAAATAGTAGCGTAGAGTTTCCATTGCCCAAACGATCGCAAGGCATTCTTTTTCTGTGGTACTTAGTTTTTCTTCACGCGGCATCAGCTTACGACTTACGAATACTATTGGATGCTCACCTTCATCGTCATCTCGTTGACAAAGAACGGCTCCCATTCCTCTATTCGAAGCATCTACCTGCAAAATAAAAGTTTTTTCCCACTGTGGCGAACTCAAGACGGGAGGACTTTGGATTGCACATTTTAACCTCTGAAACGCGGTTTCACATTGGCTCGACCAAATTACTTTCGTTGGTTGACTTCCCCTTGTTAGGTCTGTAAGAGCGACGGCTTCCTGTGAAAAATTAGGAATAAATTTACGATAATAACCAACTAAACCTAGGAACGATTTTACTTCTTTCTTGGTTTTAGGCTGAGGAAATCTCTTGATTGCTTCTACTGTCACATTGTTGGGTTTGATACTCCCACCTCCAATTYGATGACCTAAAAATTGAACTTCTTTCATGGCAATCTTACATTTTGTAGGTCTAGCTCGTAAACTGTATACCTCTAGACGCTTCAAGACTTCTTCCAGATGCTGTAAATGTTCATCCAGACCCTTCCCTGTACTTACGATTATATCGTCTATGTATCCATCAGCAATCTCTTCCAGACCTCTCAGTACCGTTTCTTTGATCATCCGTTGAAAGGTTGCGGGRGCKGTCTTTAACCCAAACGGCATCCGTAGAAATTCGAAGTTTCCCCGATGTGTCACGAACGCTGTCTTCTCAATAGAGGTTTCTTCCATGAGGATTTGCCAATACCCCTTAGTGAGGTCGATTGTGGAGTTATATTCCGATGCGGCAACTTTTTCCAACATGGAATCTATTCTTGGTATCGGATATGCGTCCATTTTACTAACAGCATTCAGTTTCCTATAGTCAACACAAAACCGTATGCTTTTGTCTGGCTTGGGTACAATAACTACTGGTGAAGCCCAAGGACTATACGATGGTCGTATTATACCCATCTCAAGCATTTTGTCTAATTCCGAATTATAGGCTTCAAGGATAGCTTGTGGTACCTTGTAGGGGTGACATCTTGTTGGTTCAGCACTTCCAGTGTCAATAGTGTGCTTAGCTGCGGTGGTACAATCAGGAATATTGGAAAATCTTCCTTCGTATGCTCTAAGTATTTCCTCGACTTTTGCTCTCTCTTCCTTGTTTAGTTCTGGATTAATGACGACATCTTTCCACGTCTCAGTTTGAGTACACGCCGGAACGTTATCTTCTTTGGGCATAATATCAATGTTAGAACCATGGATAGCCAGTGCTGCTACCTYGTCTTTGTCCTGCCACCTGCTTAAAAGATTWATATGGTAAGTACGATGTTGTTTCGTTAATTTGCCTGTGTCTAACTCATAACTTCTCCCTTCATCATGAACACCAGTTACGACATAAGGGCCATGCCACTTTGTTTCCAGTTTACTACCAGGCGTTGGCAAAAGAACTAACACTTTGTCTCCAATGTCAAACTTACGATTGGAACAATATTTATCATATAGAGCCTTTTGCTTTTGTTGACTTTTCTCCAAGTTTTCCATCACAGCTTGCTGCATACTTACAAGACGTCTTCGTATTTCCAGCACATGACTTACCACATTTGGTTCGGGTGATTCTTCTTCTAGCCAGTTGTTTTTGACAATAGATAAGGGTCCTCGGATAGGTCTACCGTACATCAATTCAAATGGAGAATAACCTGTACTCTGACACGGAACCTCTCTGTAAGCAAATAACAAATAGGGTAAGTATTTGTCCCAGCTTGTAACATTCTCACCTGCAAATTTACGTAACATGGTTTTCAAGGTCCCATTGAATCTTTCGACCAGCCCGTTCGCTTGTGGATGGTATGTTGAAGTCTTGATCTTGGTGATACCAAGCAATTCATATAGCTGTGACATCAATTTCCCGATTAAATTCGATCCCTGATCAGACACAAGTTCTTGAGGTAATCCAAAACGACTAAAAACKCCTATCAAAGCATCAGCAATAGATCGTGAATGGGTAGTTYGCAAAGCAATCGCTTCCGGATATCTCGTAGCATAATCTACGATCGTTAAAATGTACTTATTACCAGACTTGGTACGTGGGAGTTCTCCAACGATGTCTATGGCTATTTTACTGAATGGTTCACTTACCACAGGTACGGGTTTTAATGGAGCTCTATTTGTCTTGAGTTTCCTGGCCACTAACTGACATTCAGGGCATGTCTCACAGTAGTGCTTTACATCTGAGTAGAGGTGTGGCCAATACAAGTGAGCTTCGATTCTCTCTTTTGTCTTATCCATACCCATGTGTCCAGATAAKGGCAGACTGTGGGCGACCCTTAAAACTTCCATTCTATAAGATTCGGGAACAACAATTCGGTCATTGTAAAACTTACCATTATGCAACTCTTTATACACTTTGCGGTGCATTAGTAACCCCTGTTTTCTGAAATACCCTTCGACTTCATCTCCTGGGCAACGATTTGTCGCGATTTGAAACGCCTGCTTAAGCGTCACATCTGTTTGTTGGTCTGCAATGACTTGGTTGCGACTTCTGTCAAGAATGTTAACATTCGTGTCTACTTCCGGACTGTCCACCCATGTCTCGTTGGTCTTGTCTTTCTTGACCATGTCTTCCTCATTTTCAYCTGAAACAACTTTACAGTCATTATAGTCTTCGTGAAATAGTTCTGTTATACTTACCTCATCATCAACCTTACTAGCCTTCTTTCTTAACTTTGGTTGGGACAGGCTTTTAGCTGCCATYATGTTTTCTCTGTCAATGAGCTTATCCGCTCTTTCTTGTGCTGCATTTAAAATGGCTTGTCGACTGCGTGTAGTGACAAACGCGTTAGCATTTTCAGTGGAGATCCTGCGTGTAACGTGATCCCATTGCTCGATTAAGTCTTGTTGAGCTAGGGTTTTTCCATAYGAAGAACAACCTAAAAGACAATCGACTGGTAATTTATTAACAATTCCCACCAATTCTGTAAAGATACCTCTTTTACTTTGAATCTTGACATATCCTAAAGGCACAACAACCCTCTCTCCAGTAGCTGTCAGCACAGTGATTTCATCCTTCCTCTCCAGATCCTTGCCAACGTATTTCCTGTGTATTAAGGTTCGCGAGCACCCAGTGTCCACGATCATCTTTGCTCGTTTCCCATTTATTTCCCCATCAATAGCAAAATTTAATACACTATCATTATGATCAAGAGGTGTAAGTGATAACATTCCTGATGTCCTACTACCTGTTTGCTTTGGTTTGTTTGGGCATTTACTTGAAAAGTGACCCATTTGTTTACATGARAAACATTGGAYATTTGAATAATCACGAGGTTTAAAGCTTGGACGAATTGGTGCTGTTTTGGGTTCTACTGACATTTGTGACTTATCCTTTTTGTCTGGAGGACTTGGATCATGTGYTATTRTAGGCCCACTTCCATTTCTGTGTCCCTGGRAATTCTTGTTAAATCTAAACCCTGCATACTTACCCCCAATGAGAGGACCTTTCCTTGCCTGTACATGAATATTAGAAAGATCCGCTAATTCATCTGCTGTCTTAGGGTTCTTTTCTTTCAACCAGCTTCTCAGTTCAGGTCCCACTCCATCCATTAGTCTTTCTATAGCAATTTGTTGTAAGATACTTTCTTTGTCATCGGCCTCTGCAACAGCCATCCATCGATCCAAATAGCGTCTTGTTCTCTTGGCCCACTGACTAAAGTCTTCACCTGGCATTTTCTCCGATGTCCTAAACTTAAATCTATAGTGRTCAGCAGTCAATTGATAAGATTTCAAAATGGCTTTTTTCACTAAATCATAACTCCCTGCTTCTCTCTCTGACATCTCCAAGTAAACTGACTTAGCCTTCTCTGTWAGTTTAGGCACTAAACTGGCCAGCCATTCTTCTTTTTGTAAGAGCTGAGCTCTAGCAGTGAATTCAAAAACTCTTAGATAATCATCAATATCCTCGTTTTCACGCATCTCTCGAATTTTTAGAAGTGTAACTTTACCTTTACTTCTTTGTAATGATAAGGGCTTTTGTTCAATTTCTCTCTCTTCTCTTTTAAACTGTCGCTCCATCTCTAGCAACTGCATTTTCATTTCTAACCTTTGTACTTCCATTTTGTGTAGCTCCATTTGTTCCTGGAATGTTGCTGTAGGTTCTTCATTTGTCTCGGTGTAGTATTCGTCTTCGTCATCTGCGGTAGTTTGATTCTCTGCCATCTTGTCATTAGTCCTCAGTTTGCTAGCAAGGGTCTTCCTACCGTCTTTGGCACTATAAGGCAAAGAACGCTTCTCGACTTCCCCTCTCAACCTCTGCAAACTCCAATCGTCATACCTCATACATACGCACAAAAAGAAATCAAAGGGAAATTAGCAATTACAAAAAATAAGTTAAATAAATACCTATGACTATATAGGCTGGAAATTTGCAAGTTGCTCGGCAACAAGAAGATCCCACTTCTGACACCAAAATTATGTGACACTACTGCCACGTGGTGGGTACGTCTTGTTGCCCCTCCCAAACCAACCAACAATTCGCAGCTTTCCAGCAAAACAATTTTAATCCAGAATTTATAATATTGATAATTCGTTGTACTTAACTAGATATTTTAACAATATAGTAACTAATGAAAAGTGGTCCTTTAAGAGGATCATTCGACTTATTTAACTAGATAGTTCAACAATATAGTAACTAATGAAAAGTGGTCCTTTAAGGATCATTCGTCTTATCTAACTAGATATTTCAAGCGACTACTCGACTTATTTAACTAGATATCTCAAGCGACTACTCAACTTATTTAACTAGATATCTCAAGCGACTACTCAACTTATTTAACTAGATATCTCAAGCGACTA